GGAAAGGGATGGGATCCAGGACCCAGTCTAAATAGATCTCAATAAACCTACACCACAGTACAGAGTGTCTGCACACTTGTGGTTCAACAAATGGCAAAACAGCTGACAGACCTTAGCTCAGGAACTGCTGGGAGGGAAAATCCCAACACACAGCTTCATTTCTGGCTGTGGTGGCTCTGATACCAACTCAGGGTGGAAAGGACAGAGTTCAGTATTAAGGAGAGGGGAGAGCAGGAGGAAACAAAGCAGAGGAGTAGCTTAGGGTTCTCCATGGCTTGGGTGATGCACAGCAAGAGGACAAGAGGAGAAGAGGGAGAGATGGCAAAAAAAGAGTGTCCTCTGCGTGGATTTGCAAACCCTGGTTGCAGAGAGCATGCAGGGGGCTGGTGAAGTGCTTGCTGCAGTTCAGAGATCCCCACTGCTCCTGGTGGTACAAGACTGGGGTAAAGTAATGAGGAAAGTTTCTTGTCTCTGTAATTATGCTTGGACCCAAGCCTTTCCCTGCCTTTGATTCCTCACACATTATTGCTTTCTTAACTACATTCCTGACTCTACTTCTTGGGCTGGCTGCAGTTTCTGTATAAAATAAAGGCCCATTCACCAGTGTGCTAAAAAGCTCCACTTTTCCAAGAGGAAAGTCGATGGTTAAATAAGGAGAAGAGGAAAACTGGGCATCTGTGGCTTTGCAGAGGAGGTGGGGGAACAAATCCAGCGAAAGTGTCCCTTCAGTCCTGCAAATTCAGCCTTTCTGCTCTGTGTCAAGCCCCAGCAAGTCAAGGAGCCTGGGGAATTTTTACTATTCACTTAACAGAAACCAGATGCCACAGGTGGCACGTGTCCTGTTAGAAACCCTCACGCCGGATGGTACAGACTGGGACAGCTTTCATTCAGACAATCCCATAGAACTGTCCCAGGGTGATACAGGACATTACTGAGGCTGAAAAGACAGCAAAGCTTCGTTCCTGTGAGACTCAGTGAGTTGGTGGTCTCCTTGTCAAGAGATTGGCCCTGCATTTGGGACCTCTCACAACTTTTCTTCACAGCTTTCATGGGAACTCAGATAAAAACACTCTCCCAAAGCCCTGAGAAGAGAAACTGTGATGATATGCAAGAATTTGGACCCTGAGATAGCTCTTTAAGGTGAGAGGTCTGGTCTTCCTTTCTCATACGACCTTCAGCTGGGTAATTGTTGGAGTCAGGAGGTCCCTTGGCCTCAGCCTGTAGTATGGGCACAGGGAGTCAAACCCTCCTGCCCTCCTGCTTTTGCTGTAAAAACACTTGCAGCATCAATCAGCACAGAAGTACTCACCTGCAGAAATATGTGAGGAAAAAAAAGCTGAAAGCAGAGTATTGTGGTTGCACAAACGGGTTAAGACACTGCTCAGTCCATGCATTTAGCTTTTAGGACCATAGCTGAAGCTGGAGAGGGGCAGATATGACCCTATGTTTTAGGTGGTAACTAATGAAGACAGCAGGGGTTTGAGCTGAACATCTTTGTCACATTTGATTCTGTCTTCTGAAACTCTTGAATCCTTTGTTTACTTATACAAGCAATAAAGAAAATGAAGAAAAGCACCCGCTCTGCTTTATGCTGAAAAGGAGGAAAAAAGGTTGAGTTTGAAGAGTGGGTGGAAGGGGTGTGGTTACCCAGGAGGTGTGTCAGACATCGCTGTACTTATTTATAAGCAAAGGCAGTTGTGCTGGAGAAGAAACCTTGCTGAGGCTTTGCTAGCTGCTGCTTTTTCCCCTGACATCCCTTGAAGGGCACCTCTACTGCGATGGGGAGGCAAAAGGACGTTCTTGCTACTATTGAGGACCACCTGAGGATCAGAAACAAACTGGTCCGGCAAGCACTGGCTGAGTGCCTGGGGACGCTGATCCTGGTGGTGAGTACATGCTGTGGTGTGGGGATGCTCTGCTAAACCCCTGGGTGTGCGGGACACTGTCCTGGTGAAGGGGCTGCGCTGCTCTCGGAGTTTGCACTGGGGATGAGCCCAGCTCCAGTGCAACCTGCCCCATGGGGACTAGAGAAATGCTTACCTGTGGGGAAAAAAACTAATGCAAATTGCTAAAGGGTGACATTTGGATTTTTTTTTTGGCAGATGGTGGGCTCTGCAGAGCTTGGTGGGGCTTCCATGTGTCTGCAAAGTGCAGGCAGCAAAAAAAAGAGTGTGCACGCAACAAGTGTTTGCTAGAGAGCATGCAAAACTTCCTTTATGTCTGCCCTGGAATATTTTCTTGGCAATGAAACACTTCAAGTGTTATCACCCTGGGAAGCGAAAGCTTTTTTCTCTCCTCGCTTTGTTTTCCTATGGAGAAGAAATAGCCAGAATTTAAACTGTTATGGTGTTGGTTTTTTTGGCTGTCATCTGCAAGTTCCTCAGGGTCTTATCAGTGGGGCTGCATGACACTGAAGCTGCCTGTGCTGGCCGACGATTGGGAGCTTGTGCTCACCATGTTTTTCCTGACTGCTGAACGGCAAGAAAACTTCTGCCCATTTTAGTGCTCGGTTTCCAAAGGGATGGGACATCAGGGATAAAGTGGGGTGGGTATCTCTGTAAATGATTTAGTTTGAAGATGTTTCGAGAGGCCCTGGCTTGCTTTAAGTCAAAGGCAGATGTGAACCTCTAGAACAGTGGTGCGTGAGGAGCAGGGAAAAAAATACAGGGGTGGCAAAACTGTGATAGGGGTATCTGGCTTTGGACACCTGCATCCAAAAATGCAGGACTGCCCAAAATTTGATGACTCTGTTGCATTAATATTACAGAAGAACTGAGTTGGTGTTTGCACAGTGAATACCTGCAGGTAAAAGCTCCTCTGAAGCGGTGTAAAGCCAGAGGAATCCTACAAATTTCAGTGGAGTGACTGCAGGTTTACACCTCCTTGTAACTGATGGTAGGACTGTTTGAGGAGAAAACTGAAAGTTGGAGGAGCTAAAAGTGGACCAACGCACTATCTTATGCTTTAATAAATAAGATTATTTTTTTATGAGGAAGGGTTCTTTTTAATGAGGCTGCTAGGTCTTGTGTGGGAGGATGGAGGGTCAGCTGAGTCCCCCTGAAATGCTACTGCTGTTGAAAGAAAGCAGCTTCACACAGTGCAATAGCCATATTGTCAGAGCGACCCAGGTTTGGTGATTTGCAAACAAGTCCTGTTGATTTTTCAGGGACGGACTGTTTGGGATTAAGGTGGGAAGAAGCTTTTACGAAGGTGATTAACAGGGAAAAAGCTACTGTCCCTGAATGACTGTTATTCTTGTAGTTAGTCTTAGGATTGAGGTAAGGTAAGAGGAATCTCCTGATGGCTAAGTTAACATTGCTGGAGAAACAATGCAAGCCTTAGCCATGCAGATCCAAGCATTCAGAAGGGCTTGTGATCCAAAAAAATGTAGTTCCTTCATCCACCTGTATTAGCTGGTGTATCAGAGATTACTTTTCCCAAAAGCCTTGCCTTTCTGGTCCAGGGAGGAGTCGGGATGTGCACCGCAGCTGAGGAAGGATTTGGTCCAAAACCATAACCAGACTCTAAAATTAGGGTGGTTATGGGCACCCAGCAGCATGGCTGGATGACACACTGGCAAAAGTGGGCAACATGTGTCTTGTCCCTGTGAGCACCAGAGCTGCTGGGTTTTGACGTGTGTGTGAGTGTCCCCCTCCTTCTTCAGGAGTCCCTAAGTTGGTGTCTGTGGGTATGAAAATGCTGGTTTTAGCAACACATTCAACTCTGTCTTAAAGGTCTTGTAAAAGTGACCTAGGATCTCCTCAGCAACACCACCGTGGGTGCTGGGGCCATGTAGGAGACAACGGGCTGGTGGAGGAAATGGGGAAGTCCCAAATGCAGTGAATGCTCCTGGGTTGTCAGCAGGCAACAGCAGGGTGTACAGAGAGAGAAAAGAGTTCCAGGGCAGCAAGCCTGTAGTATGGCTCTGCTGGGCATTTATGCCTTGGAGCTGTCCCACCTCTTCTGCTGTCAATGAAGTGGCACTTACAGATTCTATTTATTTTACTCAAAAAGAATTTATTTATTTTCTCCCTTCCACTTGGATTCTTATGCATCCTTTATTACATCACCTGCCTAAAACAGAAGAGCCTTTGAGATCATTTTCTTTCCCTTTCAGATGGCCTAGGTAGTAGTTTGAATTGGGTAGTTCCAAGAGAAAGATTGTTATTCTACAACTTGCAAAAGTTCCTGCTGCCCTCTCTGCCAGCAGGCTGAGCTGGGTACACATGCATTTAGCTGCAGTTGAGCCTGATCTCTTATGGGCTTCAGACAATAAAATACCTGAGGAAGGATGTAGAATCCATGAAATTGTCTTAGTGGGACATAGAACTGTCTGAACACAGATATGGCTTTAACAGAACAATATTAGGGATGGATTTAAGGTTTAACATTGTTTACACTGAAATTAACTTCCTGAGCTGAAGGGAGAGAGATTGTTTAAAGTTTGCAGCATACTTTGAATTTAACTGTGTAGTGTAAAACTTGTCGCACCATGGGTATTGGCATGGCTTCAGCTTCTTCCCTCCTCCCTTTCACTTGCATAATGACCACGGTGCTCTCAAACTCTCTTTTTTTTTTTTTTTTTTGCAAGTACAGCACCTTCCACATTGTGATTTCATTCTGTGGGCAGTGTCCCTACTGTTACTATAGTAGTAATGCTGGTTCTACCTTTCCTCTGGTTAATGAAAATGACTGGGTTTTTTTCCCCCTTCAAAATGCACTTTCCAAGTGGTACTTTAGGTTTGAACTTTATACTTGTGTTGGAAGCACCACTTGCTGGCAACAGTTAAGCACTGCAAAAGCTGAAGGCGTTTTCCCAGTCACTTGCTGTTTGTGTTATTACTGTAGCAACTCACTAAAGCCCCATTTCCAGAACCGGGCCTCAGTGCCTCCCTTAAATGCTTGATCTGTTTGCCTTGCTCTGCTGGCTGTAAATATCAAAGCTGGCTCTGTTTGGCTTTTACATTTGCAGAAGGAACTTGCTGCTTATAATTAGTTTCCAACTGGGACTAACTGTGATTCACTGCTGCAGAGGAGCAAAGAAAGGACCAAACAATTTCCAACTACTTTTCAATCAGAGCTGTCCTGACAAGGAAGCTCCAGGTAACCGCTGGGAGTGCAGAGCTTAAAGCTGCTGCTCATCCTGCAGCCACCTGGGGTGGTTTGGCAATTCCCACCATCTCTCTTCAGTTTGTGACCCTTTCCTTCCACCCAGCTTGTTGCCTCTGGAGAATATTATACTTTCTTTTTTTTTTTTTTAAAATTGCTGGGATTTGAAAGGGACTGGAAATCTTTGCTGTTAGTTGAGTGCTGCTGATCCTTCCCTGCAAAGGGTCTGTGCTGCTTGGTGTGGAGGCATGGGAAATGGCACCATTGCTGCTCTCCCTCACCTCTTCCACCAGAAGAGCTCAAAGCTTTTCATTAACTGTCCAAAACTGACCAAACAGCAATGGGGTTGGATATGTCTTGATATCTACCCAGCTGGGTCCTGCTCCTTGGGGAGTGCAGCAAGAGGCCACAGGGGAGACTTAAGTGCCTTTAACCCCTTCTTGCATTAGGCTGTAGAGGAGATGAGAGGTAGTTTTAAACCATCTGTAAAGTGAGAGTCCTTTGTGCCCTCCCAGCCTCCCCCCTTGAAGGGACTGTAGGACAGTCCTAAATTCCACTCTGATATGAAGGCAAGTGTCCCTTTGTGTGTCTAATGCTTGAAATCTTCCGTCAGTATCTCATACTCTCTTCCTGAATTGGCCATGGGAGTAGATTCATGGTTTGACTGCCCTTCTGGCATATTCCCCACTAACCAGAAAGCAGCAAGGGCTGAGACGCCTTTCCCATTCACTGAGGAGATTAGGGTAGATTTACAGTAGTCTTCTTGCTTAATCCCTGGTTTATTTGCTGGATGAAGAGGAAAGCTGCAACTCGGGTAGTAACACTCCTCTCGGGCTCTGCCAGTGAAACTTTCCCACCTTGATTTGGAGATCAGTCTGTCTGAAGTCCAAAAGCAAAGGCATCCAGGCCTTTTGTGTCTAAAGGTGTGATAAGCAGCAGCAAATAAAAGAGGAGGCAAGTGAGGGAGGAAACCTGGCTGTGGTGCAGGGGAGTGCTGAGCACTGCCTTTTTCCCAGGTTCATGTTCAGAGCTGCTATTCACAGGTGTTCCTGTACACTCAGGTAGCTTCTCTTCTTCATTAGCTTTTTAAACTTTTTTTTGTCTTCCAAGGTCCTTTCCTACCAGCCTTGACTAGCTCTGGAGCTCTCTTGTCTCCAGACATTGAGACAGGGTGTTTTTACCTCGGGTGACAGAGCCAAATGGCCAGTCTCCAAACATGCCCAGGATACAGGGAGTTTGTTTCCCTGAGAGTGAAGTTTCACCCAGTGACCTGCTACCTTTTCCTGGTTTTGCTGCTTTCTGGCTTCCCCCTTCTTTGTTCCGGCTTTTGAGTTTGTCAGCCCCTCTACCCTTGAACTAGTTCAACTCACAGGTCCAGCAGAGCATGGAATTTGTTGTTTTTCACAGTGAAAGGTCTTGGATCAGCTCATGAGGGAAGAGGAGCGGCAAGTATCCCTGTTGGCAGGGAAAGTCATTAGATCTGCTAGAGCCACTAAGATGAAATTAGGAACCAGTGTTCCATTAACATGGTTAATGGATGCATTGACCTCAGTTCCTAGGAGAACAGCTTTAATACACCAGAGTAAAGCTCTGTTGCAATAATTTTATTAGCATTTTAAATCTGCTTTTGAACTTGGCTACTGGATCATGGGGAGTGTAATGCTTTCTGTTGCAGGGATGTTCTAGTAATGTTTGGGGGATGTTTTTACAAAAAAAAGGAAAGATAAAAAAAGAATTGGAGGCAGATTAATACAAATTACGAATGAGAGGTAATTTCTGCCTTGGATGTGAATGTGGCAATAATGCTGTAATATTGACTAAGAAATTCTACATTTATTGTATGAATTTAAAGATCACTGGGATAAATGCTGAATTGCTTCTGTTTGACCCTCCTTGCCTTTCAACTCAGTCTGGTTGCTTCTAAATGCTTCTGTGACTGATGGAAAAAGAAGGTTTAAAAAAATGCATGCTTAGGGTCTCCAGCCTCATATCACTTGGAGAAACAAATTAGAATGAAAATTAGCAAATAGCAGAAGTGGAGATGGCTGGATTAAAAATTGCAATAGACACTGCCACAACAAAACTTTGTAATGTCAGGCTACTTGTCACAAAAGCATGGCTTGGTGAGATCTGAGCTGGTTCCCTAAAGTTAAATGCCAGGAATGGATGTCGTGCATGGGAATATGTGTTCATGCTTAGTGGACTCCACTGGTGCAGGATGAATTTGCACACTTGCATGTCAAAGTTCACCTAAATACTAGATTGCTCTTTTTTTCTGCTGAGGGTCGAGTTTTCTACTGTTAAGCTGTATTAAGCCAAATAGTTCTCAGGGTTCATCTGATAGCTGTAAGGCTCCTGCAGAGTGGCTCCAGGGTGTTTTTGCACGGCCCATAGACTCTCCTGAGGAAAAGCTGGAGCACTGTTGCACTGTAGGATGGGGGAGAGGAGGATGGGGGAAAGACTCTTGAGAAATGGCAGACCTGGCCTCCATGCAGGTTAAGAGAGCTTTGTGGGTGAGCAAAGGGTGGAGGGGGAAAAATTTTACCCTGTGGTTTCTGCAACCAAAAGATATGTGGCTCACGAGACAACCACCATCCACTTGCAGAACTGCCAGTTCTTTCAGGGCAAGTAACACAAATACTTTAATCAGTTGGAAGAAGCTGGGGCCAACTCTGCCAAACTGCAGCTTTGTGTAGGTTCAACCCCTCCTTGCTTAGACTGATGTGCTGTGTGGCTCTAGAGGTGAACACCATGACTAAGTACTCTCTCCAAACCTTTGTCTAAAGCTTGCTGGAGCTCTTCTGGGTTAAGGGAAGGAATAGATGTCACCCTGATCATCAGCCAGTATTTTTTAGCTCAGTTTGAGTTACGCTTTCCTCAGTGGTTTGGGCACAGCTGATTCTGTTTTCTGAGCAATAAACAAGACTCAGCTTTTCTGCTTTTGCCTGGGTGTCTTCTCTGCCATGGTTTCCCAGCTGGACAGCTCAGGGTTAGGACACTGAAGGGGCTGTTCTGACTGCTCTCAGTAGACAGCAGTGCTGGGTGTTCCCTCTCATTAATTAACAGTTCCTTTGTTCTTTCTAGACAAGGTCCTGTCTTGGGGACCTGCCTCCTTGTCAAGAGGCACCTGTATACAGAGTGAACCCCTCATGAGTCAGCCTTCACCCTATCTTACTGCCCCTCTCCCCGCAGCCTGAGCGCAGTGTTTGCTTTATTAGTAATGCATCAGTTGTCAAGGGGAAGGGAGAGGATAAGTTAGGTGTGTTTTGGCTTTGCTTCTAATCTCCATTGTGCATTGCTCAATGGGCATGTCCAATATTGGCAGGAGAGGTGATGAGAGGCACCTCTGTTGCCCGGGTGCCTATTTGGTGGATTTTTCCCTAGAAGCAGATACTGCCTCTGTGGCAACTGAGTAATTCTGGGATGGTGGAATTCACAGAAGCAGAAAGTCTTGATGAGTGTGTAGATACAGGCATGTGGTCAGCAGAAATAAGGCAGGCCTTAATCCCTAGATTGGAGGATCTCAGAAGCAAGCTGTAATCCCTGTCCTAGTTTAAGGTTGCTCTCAGTACTTGCTGATGTGATGGTCCCTGGTACAGACCAAGAATCAGCTGAGATGGAGTCACTGGAAGGTAAAAGCACACAGATGATCAGGATTAGGGCTCCTTAAATTACATAGTGGGTAGTGGAGAGATTTGGCTGGGCAGAAACCTTCCAGCTGGATGAGTGATGAGTTGAACTGCCAGGGCAAACTGGCCTGGGTTGTTAAGGGTGAGCATAGAAAGGGTGGTTTTTGCATGTGGTTGGGAACATGAGGATCACCCATTTGGATTTTAAAAGAAGTAAATTTCTTCTAAAAAAAGAGCAAATGCCTCCCTTAGTAAACACCCTCTATCATCCAGCAGAAATTACTTTTATTACTTTTAGAGTATTTACTTTTTAGAGTTTTTGGTGCACCCCTGATCTTGAGCAGATGACCAAGCCTCTGGCTGTGCTGGTGGGAGGCTGTCTGTGGAACATGGACTTCTCTTGATGGTGTCTCTGCCATGCTGGTGCTGCACAGACAAGCCAGCTATGTTACTCTGATTCTTTCTTCCATGATTTTGCCATAGGAAAAATATGGCTGGTTTGGGATGGGGTGCACTATGCCTGGAATGCACATAACAGAGAGTGCACCTTGGGGTTGGGACCACTGCAGGTACCTCAGCTCAAGGAGGCAGCCCCCATCCTTCCCTGTCAGCCAGTGCCACCTGAAAGAAGGCTCCAGGAATGTCAGGCTGTATATAAACTCTTTCATTCATGTCTCTATTTCCAGGCATTAGTACAATTGACACCTGCCAATCTGTGTGCTACTTTGTGAAACAATTAGCCTTCTTAACAATAAGGTACAGGGATTAGTGCTATTTCACTGATTCTTCTCACCTACCACCTTAAAATTAGATACATGGACAAACACCCCCAGTCTCCTGGCGATGTGAACTGTGGTCTGATCTTGCATTTGATTTTGACCCTAGTTTTGTTCCTCCCTGCCAGGAGATAGGCTTGCTCTGAGTCCTGTCTCCTTCCCTGCTGTTCCTGGAGGTAACACCTAGATTCCTCAGCTGAAGGTTGAAGCTTTGAAGGCTTTGAGTCATGGGTGGGCTGTGATGGTGCATGCAAGTGTTAGTGGAGCAGTTACAGGCATTGGTCAGTAACTGGCCCTGATGTGAAGCACAGAGGCTAATTTCAGTCTTCTCTTCTCCTTCTAGCTCTTTGGCTGTGGTTCCGTTGCACAGATCATTCTCAGCAGAGGGAGTCATGGAGGTTTCCTGACTGTTAACCTGGCCTTTGGCTTCGCTGTGACTCTTGGCATTTTGATTGCAGGACAAGTATCAGGTATGTTGTGGCTCCATGTGGACTGGACTTCTTTTGACAATTGCTGTGCAAGTCTGGATGGTGGTGCTTTCCTATGTGGCACTGCTGTGGAAGTCAGTGTCCCTTGGCTTATCTCTGGGGTGCAAATACTGTCTGTAAAGGTGCAATAACCACCAATCTCTCTGCAGGTGGACATCTGAACCCAGCTGTCACTTTTGCTATGTGCTTCTTGGCTCGGGAGCCCTGGATCAAGCTACCAATTTATGCCCTGGCCCAAACCCTGGGGGCTTTTCTGGGAGCTGGCATAGTCTTTGGGCTGTACTACGGTGAGTGCAGAAACTTCCTGTGTTTGTTGGGGTGAAATAGATGCCCTTCATGACTCACTTCAGGGAGGCTGCTTCCCAAATCAGAGCAGCTTTTTCTTGCAAAGCAGAGATATGAGAAACCTCCTTCGGGTGGTCTGAAATATTCTCCTCAGAAGAGTTAATCCCATCTTAGTTACCTAAACTATGGAAGACCCATCTTCAGAAAGTGTCTGTTTTATTCTCCACTAACCAAGGAGGGAATCTAGTCAGCCTACTTGGCTAGTTATTCAGCTTATAAATAGTGGTAGGTAAGGGGCTGACTGCTCTACAAGATGACCCTGAGAGGTGAGACTGATTGTGTGTTGGCTTAGAGGAAAGTGTAAGATCAGCCCAGATCCTGTTTGCTGATGAATAGCAATATCTTATGTCTTGACACCAAGACTAATACCACAGGCATTTGGGTACCTTTTGGGAGAGATCTGGAGTCAGCTTAGTGTTTACTTTTTGGCTCCAACTATTTCCTGGTGCCCAGCAAACAAGAAATAATAGGAACAAGGACTCAGGCCATCTGGATCTGAGCCTGACTGGTAAAATGCTGTGGTGGATCACACCTTAAGTTTTCCAAATTAATGCTCTACAGCAAATGTTTTTTCAACACATAGCAATGGGATGCTCAGGGAATTTTGTCTCAATATACATGGCTCTGTGGAGCCAAGATTTTAGCTGTCTTCCAAACAGGGTCCTCTCTCTGTGTTTTTGGAAAAAAGGCTGACCTCTCTACCTCTCCTTTTTCTTCCCCACCCTGCCCCCCTCCAGATGCCATCTGGGCTTTTGGCAACAACCAGCTGCTTGTAACAGGACAGAATGCCACTGCTGGTATCTTTGCCACCTATCCATCTCAGCATCTGAATGTTGTGAATGGATTCTTTGACCAGGTAAGAGGGTGCTGCCTGGATGAAGGTGCATTTGAAGAGGAATCTTCTGGGGTAGTTCTATGCCTCTTCTTTAGTTAGAGAATGAGATGAAACTGAAAGAGAAGATATCCAGAAAGGTGTTTGGACCTAACACAGGTACCTCACTAGCTCATAAGAAGAGCAGAGCTAGAAAGCACCCTTACAGCAAGAAGGTGTATCTTGAGGGGACTGACCAGTCTCACAGGACTGGCCAGGACACCAGTGGAAAGGATACAACTTGGTCTCAACCCTTGAAGAGCAATAGTTTGAGGAAAGATGGCTCCTCCTTGCTCCCACTGTACTATTGTGGGTGTTGCACAACCTAGGGGCCAACTGGGTGTAGGGAGATGGTTGGTGTCGGGGGTGACTGTTTTGCCCTTGAAGCTGCCATCAGCCATGAAGAGACAGAAGCCACCCAGCTGTGGCATGTGGGAAACACATTCAGTAAGATGTCTCCAGCTTTTCTGGCTGCTCAAACAGTTGTTCATGGCTCTTCTGGGGTAGAGAAAAACGTGTGGGCTTGATTGACTCTATGGGCTGCCAGGAGGAGCATATTCCACTCTGCCATTTCCTTGGGTGCTCAGTCTACTGTGGTCTGATGATGCCCTGAGTCATCCCATAGCATTTCTTTCAGTTTAGAGAATGAGTACTAAAGGCATGGGACTTCAGAGGAGTTAAGTAATTTGGTTAAAAGATTAATCTGGATCTAATCCATCTTCTTCTTTCCCCTCCCTCCCCAGTTCATTGGCACCGCTTCCCTGATCGTTTGTGTTTTGGCTATTGTTGATCCCTACAACAACCCTGTCCCCACGGGTCTGGAGGCTTTCACAGTTGGCTTTGTTGTCCTTGTTATTGGAACCTCCATGGGCTTCAACTCTGGCTATGCTGTTAACCCTGCCAGGGACTTTGGGCCTCGTCTCTTCACAGCCATTGCTGGCTGGGGCTCTGAAGTGTTCTGGTAAGTACTTGCCAATCAAAACCTTGTACATCAAGGGGAAAAAAGTACAAGACTAAGCACGTGGTAGCTCTGGCATAAAGAGTCTTAGCACCCGTGCGGTATCTCTGGATTTAAAAAAAATACTGTTTCTTCTGCTCCTATTTTGTAAGAAGTCATAGAAGCTTGGTGATTTCTAGCAGCGAGAGTAAATGGCCTAACTTTGCTATCAAAGAGGAAATCTAGAAGCATCTATGAGAAGTTCAGTTGCACCTTGAACATGAACCTATCATAATTTTATTTTTTTTAACAATAGAAAATGCAAAGCATTTGTTACACTTGCATTTTGCTGTAGCTGGAGAAAACTGAGAGCCATGAGCGGGGTCAAGCTGTCAAAAGATATTTTCCTGCAAGCAGTGGGAGGGAAGTAAAGGTGCCTAGTTAAGGCACTGCAAGTGCTTCTTGCCTTTCTTGGTGGAGCAACAGTCTTGGGAGTCCTGGAAGGAGCGGTTCTGAATTGCTTGTCCCCTGAGCTTGCAGTGAGGGGCAGTATCTGCCTTGGAAATCAGTGCTGCAGACATGGGGGTACTATTGTCTTTTGAAAATCAATGGTGGTGTTTGGAGATGACCAGATCTTTCATTGTTCCAGATACAAACATGAATATCTTAATGTCTAGGTTGCAGTTCTTGTGCATGTTCTTTGTTTTCCAGGACTGGTAAACAGTGGTGGTGGGTTCCAGTTGTTGCTCCTTTCCTTGGGGCCATCGCGGGAGTGATAGTCTATCAGCTGATGATTGGATGTCATGATGAGCCTTCTCCACCTGCCTCTGAGCAGGAAACAGTGAAGCTGGCTAACGTGAAGCATAAGGAGAGGGTCTGAGAAAGCTGCCTCCCAGATCTGGCAGACATTCATTGCTCAGGACTGCAGCGAAGAGGAGTAAGGGGTTAAGAAGAGCTTCAAGAACAACAGGAAGAGTTTTTTTCCTGTCTTGAGATATTATAGCTTTTTTTTTTTTTTTTTTTTTTGAATATTGCTTTAGCTAGGAACCTAGTGTACACAGTTCCTCTTGGAACATTTTCATAAATACATACATCATAATAAGGGTTCTTTGCAAGACAGGTTGTTCTTTTAATTTTAGGTTGTTTTGTCTTATTCTGTGCAAACAGACAAATAGTAAAGAGAAACAAAAGTTACAAAGCCCCTTGCTAATTAAATACCACAGAAATGGTAGTAGTGACTATCAATAATGTCAGCAATCAGTAAAATCCTACCTATGTAATTTTAGTATCAGTGACCTGTATCTTTTGTTGTTTTTTTTGTTTACTAAGTTTTCATTTAAGTTAAACTAGTTTATATTGGCTGTTAATTTTTTCACAGTATAAGAATTTAAAAAATAAAAAATAAATCTATTGCTAGGGTGACTTCAGCCTGATTGTGTTCCTGTAAGATTATTTTTTTCTCAGTAAAAAGAAAAAAACAACAAACCAGTAGCACAGAGTTTTGGATTTAGTTGTTAATATTTTCGGTCTTTCTCTCAAGCAGATTACAATTTTGAATTTTTCTCCTCCAAATACAAGAAAGTTTTTTGGTTCTTAATGCAGCAATTTTATATAGTCTATCAGCTGATGATTGGATGTCATGATGAGCCTTCTCCACCTGCCTCTGAGCAGGAAACAGTGAAGCTGGCTAACGTGAAGCATAAGGAGAGGGTCTGAGAAAGCTGCCTCCCAGATCTGGCAGACATTCATTGCTCAGGACTGCAGCGAAGAGGAGTAAGGGGTTAAGAAGAGCTTCAAGAACAACAGGAAGAGTTTTTTTCCTGTCTTGAGATATTATAGCTTTTTTTTTTTTTTTTTTTTTTTTTTTTCTTCCCCCCCTTTGTGTATATCCCTAATGCATTTGCTTTAGGCATTTTCCTGTGACCCTTTTCCCAAATGCAGTATCATGTTATCTTTCTCTAGTAGAAGGGGGCTGAGGACTGTAGGAGTCAGGAGAGAAGTGGGCATTGCTGTCCAACACCTCCAATATGGGCCAGTTGTTCAGGAATCTGGAGATCTTTTGGACTGTCTTGCTGGCCTTAGCTTGGCAAACTGCTTCCCTCCAAACCTGTGTTCCCATCTGTAGAGTGGAGATCATACTAAACACAATTTTTGCTAACATAGAATCAGAACTCCTACATCCCAGGAAAAAATTGCCTGTGATTCTACTATGGATCAAATTAATGCTCTAAAGTTGGTAACTTGGCACCAGGAATTTACTTGTCTAAAGGATTTTTATTAGCCAAAATTTTATAACGCCCATGAATTCCTAGAACATCGTATCAATTAGCTGATCCATAATGCCAGAGCAGAGTGAGAATGCACTGCTTTTGTATTTAATATTAAGAAAAAAATATTTACAAACCACTGCACCCTGGTATTTTAATAACAATTTTTAATATTGCCAAATCCTAGAAGATAACACATAGGAAAACCTTGTTCTAGCCAGAGGCTAACCTGGAAAGAAATCTTGGCTCCCTGTAGCAGCCTCTCTAAATATTCAACTTTGAATATAAACTACCAAGCAGCCAAGTTCCACTGGAAAGATGATGTTGCTAAAGTTGTGTGTTCATGTAAATTTCACAGCTGTGGTTTGCTTTTTTTTTTTTTTTTTTTTTTTTAATAGATTTATATATAAATAAGCTCCTTAAAGCTGTTACTAAATACCAGGTTGGGATGAGTTAATTTAAAGATGTGTGGGAATTGCCTGTTCTCTGACAGCTTCAAGATACTGTTGGATTATCCTGGGGTGGCCTTAGATTATGGCATTGTGTTGCTGGAACATCTCCTATCTTGCAGAATGACTAGGGTATCCCTGGTACTCACAGCAGAGGGGCTGAGGTCAGGCAACTCCCTTTCTAGCAGTGCTGGCATCTTAGGGGATATCTGGCTCTCCCAATGCCTATTATTGCAGAGTATTTGAAATAAGCAGTACCGGTTGTGAAAGAATTTGTAGGTCTCATATGACTGCATTAGAGAAACTCTTTCAAAGCCTGTTTCTTTAATGTGCTAATTCATTGAAATATGTAACTTTGTACACATTTCCAGTTGCTAAAATTATGTATTCTTTTTTTTTTTTCATTTTTAGAAAATAAAATGTCAGTACCCACTCTGCAAAATGCTAGTGTTGGTTGTATTTTTAAGAAGCGGTCAGTAAACTTTGCCATGGAAAGGAAGTAATCTATAGCAATAGCTTCCCCAAGCTCTCTTCCTCTTCAGCCTGTAAGAACAAAATGGAATTAACCCTTTCTACAATACATCTATATACTGCATTTGTGTTTTATTTCCTTTCCCTTTTGGGGCTGGGCTTTTGGGGCAGGTGGGAGGAGTTGGAGTACCTCTACTCATTACAAAGGCTAAGGTATTGAGTGGGGTTATCCTGCTATCAGGCTACTTATTCTTCAGGGAAGAGGAACAAGAGATCATAATTTGTCCCTTGTCATTCGTACCATTTAATTTCTCTTTCTATTTTTTCACTTAATGTGGTTCTTCTGAGTATGCATCCTACTCTGCATTCAGCATACTGTCCAGCACCACCAAGCACATTTCACTAGTCACTTCTTTTTATTAGCTATGCTATACAAGGAAAAGACCTGAACATAGTACTCCAATACAAACAGCTTTCTTCCAGCCTGTGTCCTCTGCAAAGAACATTATTTTTGTTTTTGGCTGATGTGTCCTGCTGTATTTTTCCTGTATTAATTGTGAGCTATTTTAAGGCACTACAACTTCCCACAAGGTGCCATACCGAACAATTCAGTGAGGTCTGGATGAATGCGGTTTCCTGCAATTCACCAACCAGAAATCAAATGGCTTTTGGCAAGAAAGTCACTGAGTCTGTTTGGTATGCTCTACCTGCGGTCAGCATGCTGCTTTACTCCATCTCTGTTTTGAAAGTTTATTCCTCAAAATTTGTGTGGGAGTCCAGCATACTACTGTGATCAACCAACAGCTGCAGAACTCAATACCATTCAACCACATGGTATCTTCAGCTGTCTTGGTCAATGTATTAAAATTCTTACTACAGAACTAAAGACTTCTGATTCAAGGTGTGAATTTTTGGGGGATTTTTGTGGTTTTGTTTTATTTGTGGTTTGTGGTATGGGTTCCTGTTTTTTGGTGTTTTGGTTTTTTTTCCCTTTTTTTTCTTGGTGCATTTCTTCCTGCTTCTACCTGGCATCTGCCCTTGCCTTGCTTAAGCCTCAATACCATTACTCTTACTAAAAATGCAATAAAGTACCAGTTTCAAGTCAGAATATTTGTCTTAACCACATCCCTACTGTGGTAAGCTTCAGCTTTTCTGGGATCTGTTGGAAAAGCAGTAAACACTGCCATGTGGAAAGGGGCATGCTCAGTCTGCAGTTGGTGGGAGCTATGGAGAATATAGACTCAACTTCCAGAAGGGTCTGACCCATGAGACCTGATATGACCATGAATTCTCTGCTAACCATGTAAGGAGGGCAGTGCACAGGACCATCCGATATGCCAGATTTTGTGTTTCTGGAGGTGTTATTAAAGTGTGAGAAGGGAAAGATGAAGTTAACTGCACCTGGAGTTTTCCCTGGCAGCAGACACCCTTAAATTGCTGCAAATTGTGGTTCTGTTTGTTTTAATGCAGCTGCCTCAAAAGAGCTATTTTGGTGTCATTTATCTAGCAGGTCCATACAAATTAAAATATTTTTTCTTTTTTTTTCCATACCTAAATTTCAAAGGCAGTGACTCATCTTGTGGTTAATGCCTTCCTCCTGGAGTCACTGGAAAGGTAAGGTTCATCTGACCAAATATAGTCATCCAGGTTTTCAGTTAGATGAACTCCAGCTGTCAAGCTATTGAAATATACTTACTTTGTAGGAAGAAATAAATCTAGGATTTAAACTATTCATGCTTGACAAGGAGAGCAATTTGTTGCTGGCACAAAATGTTAAAAGATGTTGTAGATTCTCTATTGTGTGAGGTTTTCAAATTAAGATTGACTGTCTTGCAAAAAGGTAGGTCTCTCAGTCAAACCACAAGCAATACTCTTCAGAGCAAATCCTATTGCAGGAAATTCCCAGACCTTTATATTACAGAGGGTCAAGCTGACAGGAATTGTCCTTTCTGACTTTAAAACATATGAAATTTGTAAGGCAGGCTGAAAGTGGCCAAGTATTCAGCTCCTCTTAGTTCTCAGTGGCTCTTTGCCACAGGTGCTGTAACTTGGTGGCACATCAGCTGTGAACCAGGGAAACGGGCTTTTGGATCCCTGTTCTCCTGGTGCCTTGAGGTGAAAGCTCCAGGAGGCTCTTCTAGCTCTGTTTGCTTTATCTGTGCAGTCCTGATTTTCTCCAGGTGCTGCTCTGTTTTACCTCGTGGGAGCAAAGTGGCACGTTGAATTGAAAGGCCAATGCTGCTGGACACTGTGGAGAGCTTGGGAGAACAGAACAAATGCCCTTTATGCAGCTCTTCTATCCCAATGTGAGTTTCAGCTCTCTCTCTGCCAGTGGTGGGTGCTGGGCTGCAGGAGCAGGCTGGCACTCAGCTGGCCACCTCCAAGTGAGGAGGAAAGGTTCCTTGCCTGCTGTCCTAGAAGGAGAGTGAAGGGCTAGTCTTCATCAAGGGACAACACTGGCAATGACCCAGCTGTGAAGGTTGTCATATTCCCTGCTGCCACCTTTAAGTCCCTGGTACTTCTGCATGCTCAGGTCATGCTTTAACTGCCAGTTCTACTGCACAGCCAAGGATTTTGCCCTAATCTCATATCTCAAGGGGGGAAGAAGTTTTAGCCCACTGCCCAATTCCAGCATACCCTCAGATCTCATGTCTCCAGGGCCTCTCAGTTTGAGGGCACTCAACTCTTTAGGAGCCCCTGTATCCTCACAGGAGGATTTAGACTCAATGCTCTTTTCCAACGTAAATGATTCTATGATTCTAATTAAACCACTTTCTCTGTTTATTGCTTACTGTGTAGAGAATAATAACATTCCTTCCTG